ACCACCTCCTCTACATGGGTGACATCGAGCTGTATGCTAAGAGTGAATGAGACATTGACTTATCCACATGACAGAGATCTGTAGGGAGGACATTGGGTTGTCATTCGGACTCGAGAAGTGTGGCCGTATGGTAGTACAGAGAGGGAAGATAGTTAAGACTGATGGGGTGGAACTACCAGTGGGCCACATAGCAGACCTACAGACCAGCTACAAGTACCTTGGTATCCACAGTCACATGGAACCATGATGAGGAGGCAAGGAAGACAGCAACATCCAAGTACCACCAAAGAATAATACAGGTCCTGAAGAAGCAACTCAATGGGAAGAACAAGATCCATGCCATCAACACATATACCCTACCAGTCATCAGATACCCTGCCAGTCTAGTGACCTGGCCAAAGGAGGATACAGAGGCTGCTGATGTGAAGACCCAGCAGTTCCGCACAATGTATGGAGGTTCCCACCCCAAGTCCAACACCCAGAGTCTGTACCCCAGCTGAAAAGAGGTCAGGCAGGGTCTGATGAGTGTTAAAGCTATTGTCATGGATGAAACCCACAGCACCCAGAAGTACATAAGTAAGATGGCACCCAAAGATGAGCTGCTGTGAGAATGCCTGAAGCAGCAGACTTGGGAGGAAGTTCAAGCAGAGGAAATGCCTGGCAAGGCAAGACCCTGCATGGATGTACCATCAACAGATTGCTGAGGTGGCTCACATTGGGAAATCCTATCAGTGGCTGGAAAGGGCTAGACTAAAAGGCAGCCCTGATACACTGATCATAGCAACATAAGAATAGGCACTAAGCATCAGATCCATAGAAGTAGGAGTCTACCACACTAGGCAGGATCCAAGGTACAGACTGTGCAGAGAGGCCTCAGAGACAGTCCAACACATTGTGGCAGGGTGTAAGATGCAGGCAGAAACAGCATACACTAAGAGGCACAACCAAGTACTGGCATTGGGTACAGGAACGTCTGCACAGTGTATGGGCTAGACTTTCCCAAGTCCAGATGGGAGATTCCACAGAAGGTCATGGAGAATAACAGAGCTAAGATCCTGTATGGCTTTCAGATCCAGATGGATGGGCAGGTACTGGCCAATCAACCAGACATCATGGTAGTATACAAGGACCAGAAGATAGCAGTTATGATACATGTAGTGGTGCCAAGTGACAGCAACATCTGGAAGAAGGAGTAGGAGAAGCTGGAGAAGTACCAGGGCCTGAAGGAGGAACTAGAGAGAATGTGGGAAGTAAAGGCCAAAGTGGTCCTGCTGGTGGTAGGAACACTCAGGGCTGTAACTCCTAAGCTGGGAGAGTGGCTCCAACAGATCCCAGAAATAACATCAGAGCTTTCTGTCCAGAAGAGTACAGTGTTAGGAACAGCTAAGATAATGCACAGAACCTCAAACTCCCAGGCCTCTGGTAGGGAACCTGAGATTGAGGAAGACACATACCACCCATAGGGGTGAGAAGGGATTTTTTTCCCTTTAATATGGATTGTTTGCTGTCCAGAATTATGCATTTAAAATGGGTAGCTATATAAATTTTCTGAAGAAACAAATACGTAGAAAGGTACCAAAAATGTTGATTTAAAATAGTATTTAATTTATTGGAAAACACAATATAAAAAGGCACGTCAGTATTAGGCTTTCATTGAAAAAAATCTATCTATATGGTCACTAGGCGTTAAAAATGACTTGATGGCACATAATCAAGTATTAGGCTTACAGAAAAAGAATTAGTATTCATTCAGCAAGTTTAAACAAAGGAATAATAGATAGCAATACAAAGTGGAGGCTTAGCCTCAGATAGAAAAAAGCAGGGAAGAGTTTTAAAAGTAAGCAAGGGTTAAGCGTCAAAATACTGTAAGACCAGAAGTCTAGCACACTCTGATGACTCACTGCATTTTCTCTGGGTGGGTTGGATTGCTTCCTAAATTCTACAAGATTTAATCACCACCCACCCAGGGATACCTTACATTCTTTCCTTCCCCAGATGCTGTTTCCAGATGCTGTTTTCAGGAAGAATCAAAGAACAAGAAGTCTCTAGCTCTCTCTTTGCTATTTAATTTCAAGAGCAAGGGAGTTGTGTTCACTTAGGGATTCAGCAAACAGGCCCTCCTGGCCTTTCTTACTAGAGATAGAAAGGAATAGATGATGGTAAATGGGTGTGCATTCTGATATAACAGGGATCTCTGGAAGCTTGCCTTGCTGGAGAGGCTTGTCAAAGCTATCATCTGACTTACCCTGCACTAATAAAGAAAAATGTTTATATTGCTTCTGTCTTTATATGGAAAATTAAAAGTCATATTATTGCTATACAATAGGCAGCGTAAATGTTTTAAATGGGTATATCATGCTTAAAAAGTAAAGAACAGGAATATGTCAAAGTCTGCAAATCATGGATTAACAGCCTAGATGAAGATTATATATATTTTGGGAAGGCACTAGGCATTCTTAGCTGTTTAGTATCAAATTATAAAGAGCAACTTTAGAGGAATGCACAATCTATAGTCCTACTTCTGCTTATGATTCCTCCGAAACATAGGTGTAGCTCCTGCCAAGTTCTTCCAAAATTTCCCACTGAATTGTAATTTTAATGAAACATCAGAATGACTCTGCTTAGTTAATTTAAAACATAATTAAAATAAATGTAAATTATGTTTGTATCCTGTCCTGACCAGCTTCTTACTCTGGCCCACCCACTCTAGGAGTATGCCTTTAGCATATCATTCAAAAAAATGAAAGCTTCTGCTTATAGATCTTCAGATAGTTTACTTTGAAATAAAAACTTATTTGAGCAGGATCAAACTATTCAAAAAAGGTTATGTCTTCATAAATATGTATGTCCAGGCTGATATACAATTAAAATGTTATTTTAAAAAGTAACATTTTAGAACAGTAAATTACTTATTAAATTAAATTCAGGATTTGCAATTATAATTTAAATCAGGAAGAATGGACTACTGTAATGTCCCTGTCTTGAGCATTTACCAGTGTAACATATGTAGTTGGTGAGATTAATAATAGAACCTTCAGCATTGCCCTATAATACACAGGTTTATGCAAGAGGCAAAATTCTTTTAGATATTGTGACTGTAGTGATTAGGGCTTTGTAAAATATAAGCAGTGTCTTGAATTGGGACCAAAAACAAACTGGAAGCCAGTAAACTTAATATTTAATCCTTGTAATATATTCCACAAACACCAATCTATTTTACAATACAGGGTGCCTTCAGTTTAAGAACGAGTTCCATTCCCAAGGTCTGTCCTTAAGTCAAATTTTTATGTAAGCCAGAACAGTATTATTGTATAATATTGTATAAGTAGTATTGTACGATTAACTCTAACCATTGTGTATTTAACCTGAATCATTGTGTATTGAACTCAAATTTTGCTACAATAGCCTCTGTTCTTAACTATGGGTCATTCTTAAACCAGGTGTTCTTAACCCAGAGACTACTTATAGATGAAAATTCCAAACACTTAAGAGAGGTCCATATGGAGGGTGTTACATTAATCTAAACTGTACCATGTAATTTATTGTAAAGGACTCACATTCATTAGATAAAATTTTCCTGAGCATGTGACAGATCACTGTACATAGTTCCTAGTTAGTCAGATGTAGGCAACAGTATGTTGACTTGCAAGATGGTCTTTACATTATTGATCTAGTTTGCACAGAACAGTGTGAGTTTGCTTAGAATAAAAGTGGGCTTAGTGGTTGTGGCATATTGTGGCAAAATACTGACCATATGAAAGCCCCCATACTCCTCTTCTGTCTCCCAAAGTCTAGGGTAGTTTTCAAGTATTAATCTTTTGAATGCATTATTAAACTACTTTTACATTCAGCCAGATCAGCCTTCATTAAGGGCATTTCAGTATTCCAGCTGTTTTTCCAGTGTTCACATATTAGAAATAAATTGGATTCTGATTTACTACATTTGATGTTAGCCCAAAGGCCAAGAAATAATGTTGGATTCTAGTAGTTGCTGACTAGGGAGAAGAAGTGATACTAAATCAGTTTAAGAAAATTGGCTGTGTTGCTATGGACTTCCAGGAGAGATGAAGCCCTTGGTGTATTAGGGGAGGTCTAATGAAGCTATGATGGGTTTACCAAAGATTAAGGCTCAGGAGCAGAAAATCCACCCAACTCAGAGGTTAAATTACATGCAGGCATTTCCAGCTCTGGTAAATACAAGCACTCAATTCTTCTGGTAGATTATTCCCAAATACCTCATTATCTGAAGCTAAAATTGGCCTAGTCATTTTGAGGCAAAAGAAGTCTGCTATATATAGCTGTCTCAAGAGTTTACCATGGAAGATTACTGCAAGCAAGCAGTCCAACCACCTTTGTTTGTACACAGATCTGGTAAGGACCATCATAAGGCTGTTGTCTTCTGTTCCCTACTTTGATTTTATAAAGTAGGGGAGAATAATCATGAACTTACTTTCATTTCAACTATTAGTAAGGGCTACTGGATATAAACTGGTATAAAAGGAGCTATAGAGTGAGTTCTGGATCAAAAAATACCTTCATCCCAAGCAAGCAGCTATTGTGGTCAGAAAAAATAGGTAATATGGTCCTTAAAAGTACCTAAGAGAATTCATAGTGTATTAATAATATTATCAAATTTAATTTACTGTTCATTAGACTGTGCACTTCTGCTGTGTTTTTCCCTGGTCCCATGAGGACTAGAATCTTTGGTAAAGAGGTGAAAATTCTCAATGACATGTCAAGGGATTTATTTGCCTGTCAAAGGAAGTTGATTAATGTATCACTCCTCAAATGAGTTTGTCTCAAGACCCAATTTACTGCAGATTTCAAGTATCTATCATCTTCCTATTCTATGTATGGTGACATCATCAGAATGATTTGTCTCCCTTTGGAATATATCACTTTCCAGTAGAGCAGTCTTCACACCACCACAGGTACTGTGCATATGACAAACTTGTGGGATTGTGGCATGCAACCTAACAGTCTTTTCCATTTCTTTTCAGGATCTGTGAATCATGGTGTTCTTCTTGGATCGTGTGAAAATAAGTATTGTGGCTTGGGAAGGCATTGTGTTGTCAACAGAGACACAGGACAAGCAGAATGTGCCTGCATGGAAAATTGCAAGCCTCATTACAAGCCTGTTTGTGGCTCTGATGGTGAATTCTACGAAAACCACTGTGAAGTACACCGGGCCGCCTGCCTGAAAAAGGAGAAGATTACTATTGTCCACAATGAAGACTGCTTCTTCAAAGGCAAGTTTTTGGGATGATATCTTAAAGATTAATCAGTTACATATTTTGAAATTAATTATGTTAAGATTCTGGGAAACACTGTGGAAGGTATTGTGAAGAAATGATAACGAAATTTAATATGACAAAGCTCTTTTCTCTGGAGAAGTCGTCCAGCTGTGTTCAATCTCCAACTATCTCTTTGGAAAAGATTGATAGCAGAAAAATTGTATGCTTGAAAGGTCTGTTGGAACAAGGAGTCCTATGACCTCAACTTGGAGAGGTAGCCACTTTGATCATAGTTGTGTTATAAGTGATGCAGCTACAAATCCCAGTGGAACAGCTTACATGTAGAGATTTCTTGGAAACTTGAATTGTACGGTTGTAGTGAGTAAGCATCATAGGCCATCCTGTTGTTCCTAGCTTTTTAATAACTTTTAAATGTCCTTATTTCATTTTTATCTGCTCTTTTCTTTTTTGTCTCTATTTTGATTCTGCTACTTACTTTTTTTTAGCAAATGTAATCATGTTTATTTCAATAACTGGTTCTACTATATTCTTTTTATAAAGCCTTGAGGGCTTTATAAAGCTATAAATTAAGAGTGAGGGTACTTGATAGTTTTACAAGACATAAGAAAACTTCAGAGGAGCAGGAAGAAATCCACAGAAAAATTGCTACATAGATGGAGGCATTTTAACTAATTGTTCTGCTTCACACGGATTTCACCCTGACAGCTGGGAAGGGAAGTAATAAATTAACAAATAATATGCTGAATTCTGATTGTTATCCACTCCTGCAGTGAACTAAATTATGGGTCACAAATTATCACAAATGCCACATGAAGACTAATTCACTAGCCTGAGGGCCATAGTACTAAAGCCATTTATTCATTGATACTGAAGTCTCTAGTGAGTCAAAAATAAAGAAAATAGAGAATCTCAATATGTCATTAAATATATATTTATTTCTTAAACGAACAAATCAACTACAAATGGAACTGTAAAACAGAGCATTTTTCATTAATCAGAAGACCAGTATCTGGGATTATTACTGGGTTGTTACTTTTTTTTTTCTCCATGTTCATCATTTCTAAAATATTGTTGCAGGCCACAGTAAGTGACTTGAATGGCTGCATACAGCCTTTCAGAGATGAGTTTTCGACTCATGAATTAAAGGAAAGGTCAGTACAGAATTGTTTGTTGGGAAGGCAGCCAGTTGCGTAAGAATGAGATATATTTCTAAGGCTTTGTTTACATGTAACTTTAACAACATGGTTGCTATTGCTCAGTATTTGATTATGTCATTAAAACTGCATGAGCACATTATGCCAGGATTGTACCTGCACTACTGATGCTAATTCATATCCATGAAATCCAAGCAATAGATGTGATACAAAACTTTGGATAACAATGAGTTACATGTAGACATCAAATATATGTTTGTCTCCTTATGTCTTTAGAATAATAAGAAATCCAACTCTTTTTTATCAATTATATATGGTAAGATGCCCTTTCAGAAGGAATGTGGAATTACTGAAAAGGTGCAATTAAAATTTCTGTATTATCACAGATGCCTTTCTCATCTGTGGCCTGGTTGCCATTTTCAAAGTCCTACATGACTCATAGATACCTTTGAGACTGTCTGCTCCAGGTTAAGTCTGCCCATCCAATAAGAGCTGGCAGAAAAGATTTATTAGGGGATCTCCTCTAAAGAAATGACATCTATAGAGACTCATAATTGGACTACTTTGCTCCAGTTATCCAGTCTGTCTTCTTCTCAGTTGGATTTCCAAAGAACCTTAAAGACTTTGGTCTTCAGGAAAGCATTGGATGTAATGGATGAATGGTTGGTGAAGATAACTGAACTAGCAGAAATGGCAAAATTAACTTGTTTGGTTAGAGAAAGATCAATGACTACATTTATTAGTGATTGGAAACCCCTTATGGACTTTTTGGTGAAAAAAAAAATGAACTGGTGATTTATGGATTTGATTATTAGAAAGGATAGATTATGGAAAGAAGGAAATTGTGATGTAATCTTAGAGGAGATTAAAATATAAATGTACTTATAACTGCTGTTAAGGAGATTTGAAGCCACTTTATTACTTTTTCTTTTCCTTTTTTAAAATTTCTTTGCTTTTTCACTTTTTTGTATTTTTTTTTATTCTGTTGAAAACTTCACTAAAAATTGCTTTAAAAAAAGGAAAACATTGGAGGTAATGACAGTAATATGAGACAGGTGATATTTTACTAGATTATGATGTTTTTCATTTTTAATCTTTTTTTTAAGTAAACTGCTCACTGACATTGAGAATTGAGCAGCACAGAAGCAGTAGCAAATAAAGAAGTAACACATAAATAGGAAGCCTTGTAAATGCTATTAATGTGCATTATTTAGATGGATACTCTTTTCTATAGAGCTTATCATTAGGCCTCTCATTTAATTTAACTCCTTTGCAATTTGCTGAGAATAAAAAAGACAAATCAAGGACCTACCAGATAGGACCAAAGACCTATCTAGTCTAGCATCTTCATCTTACAATGTTGCACTATTTTTCCCCTGTTGATGGTAAAGGTGGCAAATTTGTCCAGTCCAAACTCCATTGCAATATCTTGGCTGTATATCAGGACAGTGTTGAGTAGCGATTCGATCTCAGATGGTATTTTCCCATACAGCTTCAGATTGTCCATGTAAAGTGTTGTTGTTGTTGTTGTAGTAGTAGTTGTTATTATTTAAACGTATATACCACATGACTGTGCACAAGTAAACTCTGTTGGAACAGTCACAGCAATAGAATATTATTTTTCAGGAATTTTATGCTTATGTTCTATGTGTCTTTCTTTAAATTAAAAAAGTACAATTAAATATTTGACTTTTATAGATCTCAGCCCTATAAGGTAGACCAGAATAAGAAACCAAACCCAGATATGTCAGGACTACTTTTCTTTGTAACAGCTATAGTAACAGAATCTTGCAAATCTGAATGTGTTTTCCCCTCCCTCACTATATCTTCATGTGAACTAGGGAGGGGCTTGTCTGAGACTTTACTCAAGTTAGTTTCTTGGCCCGGGCTCAGGCCCCACTTGACCATCGTCTTGGCAGCAGCTTTTCCTCTTATCCTTCAAGGCCATTCTCTATTCCCTCTAAAATAATGGCAGGTAATTGTAAAGTGTTCTGCCCTTTGTTCATTAGCATATATTTGTGTGTGTGTGTGTGTGTGTAATAGCCACCCAAAATTATAAGTACATCACATTATTAAGAAGGAAGGAAGGAAGGAAGGAAGGAAGGAAGGAAGGAAGGAAGGAAGGAAGGAAG